CAAGAATGAACCATCACTGAAGTCACTTTAGATGGACTGTGACGTGATTCTCTTGTGGAAACACACTCTGTTGTTGCATTATCTCCTGTTATCTCAGTAAAGCTGCTGTGAAAGCGCTGTATTTGAAGCAGACTCGAGTCGGTCTCGTTCACTCGGATATACAGCCGAACCAACATTCACTCAGATACCTTCAACCTTTCTTACGTTATCACAGTTTAGACTCTCACACATGAGTTATATTGAATATCTGTCAGCTGTTAAATTTAACTACACAATTAGATCATACCAGTTTAGCTCAACCAGTGACCAAGCAATGTCAAGTCAAGTCACTTTTATTTATATAGCGCTTTTTACAATACAGCTTCACAGTGATAACATGAAAATAATAGCACACAGATCAATAATATTGTTGAATATTAAATGTCCCCAACTAAGCAAGCCAAAAGCCAAGGCAACAGTGGAGGAACCGAAACTCCATCAGGGACAGAATGAAGAATCAAAAACCTTGGGAGAACCCAGGCTCAGTCAGGGGCCAGATCTCCTCTGGACAATGAAGGAACAGTGATTACAAAACAAATTGGATCGAAACATTCAGAGAATTTGTCCATTTCCATCTGTTTGGAAGTCGAAGTAATCACACCGGTTTGGAGAAGAGATGTTGAGGATCAGTGCCGATGGCTGTCGTGTCGATGAGGCCAGCACTTCAGGATGAGTCGGGTTGGGTCCAAGCGCAGGTCCACCATAGAGGGTCCCTCGGGATAAACAGAGAAACTAATATTAGCGTAGATGCCATCCTTCTTTTGATGTACCAAGTACATCAGGATTTACGGGACGTGTTCCCGGTTCCGGCTGATCTAAACAATGCAGCCTAATTTGAATTTAGGCAGTCTATAGTGTGTTATGTGTATGCTAGGCCAAAGAGGTGTGTTTTCAGTTTGAAGAGTGTGTCTGCTTCCCGGACAATGTTAGGAAGATTGTTCCAGAGTTTTGGTGCTAAATAGGAAAAGGATCTACCTTGATAATCTAGGTATTATCAACTGGCTGGAGTTCAGAGATCAAAATAGACCTGAAGGACTATAATGTATTAAGAGCTCGCTCAAGTACTGCGGAGCTAAACCATTTAGTGCTTTATAAGTAAAATCAGCAATATTTTAAAATGTATACGATGTTTAATAGGCAGCCAATGCAGGGTTGACAGAACCAGGCTAATATGGTCATACTTCCTTGTTCTGGTAAGAACTCGAGCTGAAGTTTGTTTATTAAGCGTGCAGGGCAACCACCCAGTAGAGCATTACAATAATCTAGCCTTGATGTCATGAACTCATGACCCCTGATGCGATACTGAGACAGTTGCATAGTTATAACTTTGTCCCTGACATTATCAATCTTATAAGTGAAGAAATTCATGAACTCTTTACTGCTGTGTTGCTTGGACACTTCTGGGCTTGAAGCTTTCTATTTCGTTAGTTTAGCCACTGTTTTAAATAGCAGCCCATTCTCACCCCCAAGGCGTCACTTAACTGACGCCTTGGGAAGCATTTGGACATGCTTCAATATCTGACGCTTTAGGCGCCCTTTAGCGTCAGTAAGATGACGCCCTAGGATCGCGTGTACCCTACCCCCACCCCACACCTAAACCTAACCGCGTCCTCTAACTGACGCTTTCCTTTAGCATCAGTTAGATGACGCCGTAGGATCGCGTCATGTAAGTGACGCTAAAGGGCGCCTAAAACGTCAAATATTGAAGCATGGTCAAAGGTGACGCCTTGGGGTGAGAATGCGTTGTAAATAGATACCTAGGATTAATTTTATTTTCTTCTAATAGGGTTGAAAAATAAGCAGATCTAGCAGTTTTTAAGGCCTCTCTGTATGCTCTGTATGCTTTTTTTTGGCTGCTCTCTTAAAGGCTCATGTTGTTCAGCTTCATGTTGTTCAGTGTGTGTGTGTGTGTGTGTGTGTGTGTGTGTGTGTGTGTGTGTGTGTGTGTGTGTGTGTGTGTGTGTGTGTGTGTGTGTGTGTGTGTGTGTGTGTGTGTGTGTGTGTGTGTGTGTGTGTGTGTGTGTGTGTGTGTGTGTGTGTAAAAAAAGCATTAGCAATTACAGAAAACACACTTCAGCAAAACATGATCAGCTCAAAAGTGTCTGAATCATCTTTGGTCCCAGATGTTTATAAATGTTACTGGAGGTCACATGAAGAGTGAATGAAGAATATTTGGGTGTAATATGTAATATATCTCACTTACGTTAATGAACTACAGTGTCCTGCACACACCAGTGGAAATATCAAATGACATCTGGTGTGGGAATAATGTTTGGTGTGTGTGTGTGTGTGTGTCACTGCTGGTGTTGCAGGAGTGTGTGCTCTACAGAACCCTTGATCACTTGAATCTGCTGGAGTTTATTTATAGCTGGAGTATTACTTATTTTCCCAAACAAATTTGTTTGCGCCATTATATTTGTGTAGAGGTAAATTTGTGTTGTTTTAAATGTAAAAAATAATAAATAATATACTGTATCTTAGAGTTGTTTGTGGTGATAATATAAATGTGATATGCAGTGACGTCACACCCCGACCCTTGACCTTAACCCTAACCTTCAGGCTCTGGGTCAAGGGTTTAGGGTCAGGCTCCGGGTCAAGGGTTTAGGGTCAGACTCTGGGTTGAGGTTCAGGCTCCGGGTTTAGGGTTAGACTCCGGGTCAAGGGTTTAGGGTCGGGCTCTGGGTCGAGGCTTCGGTCAAGGCTCAGGTCAAAGGTCAGGCTCCGGGTCGAGGGTTTAGGGTCGAGCTCCAGGTAAAGGGTTGGGCTCCGGGTCGAGGGCCGCACCAGAACCATAGGGCTTTGCCGAGGGCCGTGCGCAGTGTCAGGCTCCAGGTCGAGGGTTGGGCTCCAGGTTGAGGGTCGGGCCAGAACCGTAGGGCTCTGCTGAGGGCCGTGCTCAGGGTCGAGGTTCGGGTCCAGGGTCGGGTTCTGGATCGAGTGTCGGGTCAAGAGTCGAGCCAGAATCGCGGGGCTCTGCGAGGGCTGTGCGCAGGGACTGAGAGAAGCATGTCTATAAGCGGAGTGGAACGCAACCTTGGCGATGTAAGATATCTGTCTTCTCCAGTTTCACCAGCTGAGGGATATTCCTGCCAGCAGGATCTGTTCCTCTGGGTCTGCAAGTACAGCTGGAGCGACAGAGCGCACAAACAGACAAAAAACTTGGTTAATTATTATCTTTGACTGAAGAATATTGCTATAAAGGGTTGAAGGCTTGTCAAGATTAGTTTATAGGGTTAGGGATATCACTTGACAAGGTCATTAGCAGAACAGGCCACATTACAGATACATTAATCATCACCTTGGGTTAATGCTATTGACTTTGAAGCTTCTTATACTGTATTTAAAATTAAATGGATTCAGAATATTATGATATCTAATAAAAGCTAATAAAAAAATGTTGCATTATATCCCAGAATTAGTTTTTAACCCCTTTAGGGTCACTGATGGCACCAGATTATTGTTGTTCAACATTCACCTCACATTCAAATATCTTGATCTGGACAAACTGAGCAGGACAGATTACAGACTCTGCGATACTTGACCCGGTTATGATCAAACTGGTTGCAGTGGCATTCATTTCTTGATTTATGTAATGTTTAGAGCGAGCTCTGTGTCTGTGCGTGGGTGTGTGTGAGTGTGTGTGTGTGTGTGTGCATTGAGTATATGAATATTCAGGATTTTCCTGTTCTTATATGAAATATCAGCACACACTAAAAAGAAACTTTTCCACACTGAAACAAGAAGCGAATCAGCGCACGATCACGGCGATGTATGGTTTGAGAGTGATGTTCCAGTGACGTCCGCTCTCACACACAGTCTGAAACACACACTTCTTAACACTTCTTTGCACTGTGACACTGTGACATTGAGCATTGTGATGATGGCATGCCTGTCGTTTTTTCCTATGAAATTTAAGAATAGCACTGGCCTCTGCTCAAGTAGACTGGCATCTGCACTGTGCTTCACAGCGTTAGGCTCTGCATTATAATTCAGGATAATCCATCTGCAACATTTCATAAAAGGACGGAAGTCTGGAACTGTAAACTCTCAAGTGTTGGTTCTGATGGACTTATGCAGAATGACTTATGATCAGCAAGCTTTTTATTTTGGGTTAGTCCTTCAAGATGGGGGGGGGGGGTTAAGTTACTCCTCATATGCAACTTTATATTAATAAATCCCTGTCAAGCTTGTTTATAAGCTCTGCTGTACAAACACAGCTTATATGAAATAGTAAAGATTTAGGAATAGAACACTGTTTTTTTAATAATGGTTATTAATACTGCATCTGATTCTGATCGAGTCCTTCTGTGCCGATACTGCAGATCTGAATATAATATTGACTTCAGATTAAAGTCAGATGGTTCAAGTAATGTTAATAAAAATCCAACAATAGTGTCCGCCGACAGATTTGCCGTTCTGGCATTCGGTGGGATTCTCATCTATAATATTCATGATATTACATATTCATAATATTTATCCAGTAAATCAGGTCATAAAAAGATCTAAGAAAGAGAATGATTTAAAATATGTGTTTTGTAATGTGAATCATGAGAGTATTTCTCATCTTTTTTGATTGTATTTGAACTAAATTTTCTAGTTCAGTGTTAAGGTATTTTGAAGGAGATTTTTGGAACTGACATTATTTTGAGGACAAAAATATGCTTTATGATGATTTTTTTCTCATTTGTTTATTATTTTAGAGAAATATCGCTTTAAATGCCTAGGATGAAAAAGTTTTGTACAATTAAAGTTTGAGCTTTGGTAGTAGCCTACCTTAGAGCTTTGGAGGATCACCAAGGCAAACACTACAGATTTACATTTTTTTTTTGTTATTTTGCTGTTTATTTATTTTATATTTGTATTATTAGTAGTATTTATGATACTTTGTTGGTTTAAGGTATAAATATGTTGTGGTATGAATATAATGTTTCATCACTCGTCATCGGTCACGCGCCCACCACGCCCCCCGCCCCGCTTTATAAAACGGGCGCACGCGCACTACGTTCTCTGTCTCCGGTCGCTTTCCGTCCTCAGGATCTGCTTCACGATCGCCTCATCGAGTCCGTAAGGTGTGAGTTTTAATCCGTTTTCTCGTGTTAGATTTAACAAGTGCACTCATCTCCTCACTCTCTTATTTCCTTCGTTTGTGTCGTGATAGCGCTGTGGCTTTATTCGCTGGTTGTTGTCTGCACGGCATCTCACACACTCTCACACACACTCACACTTCAGGTCTAGATTATAGCGGTGCGACAGAATCATGTTCAATCTTGGAAATAGACTCGCTACATAAATCGCTGCATGGACATCTGTAACCTCTGTGACATGCGGCTGTCTGAAGCGCTACTGCGCATGCGGGTGTGTCTGAAACACTGAGTGCTAGTGCGCATGCGGGAGTCTGTCTGAAGCGTTACTGCGCATGCTGGTTAATATCTGGCGCGCGTCTCACATTTTTCTGGCTGGACTAAATTTGAATTTCTTGAATGTGAAGTTTGGCTTAATTCAAACAAAGATCGTGCTAGATTGTGAATGTAGTCAGCTATAGACGTAGGCCTACTTTTGACACGCGAGTGTATGTAAAGGTAACGCTTGAATTGAAACGATGAGTTTATACTTCTAGAGCGCGAGAGAGTGCCGACGTGATGACGTCACTTTGTAGGACAACTCGGAAGCTAGCGGCGCATGGGTTCCCTCGGTCGAAAAGCAATGCATTTTCCCCATAGACTTTTGGAAAATCGCTAAAAATAAGATCGGTGTTTAACAAAGGGTTGTGACCCTTACACGTTTGTCTAGCAAGATAATCTTTACAAGTTAATCCAAAATTTATACATTTTGAAGCCTATATAAAGATTTTAAAAAACACACAATAAAGTTGAAAAAAACCATAAGCAGGTTATGACTACTGTGTTCTATGTCATATCAAAACGTGAACATATTTAGAGGCTTTGTTCACCACAGACCTTATTTCAGGTGATTTAGCAAAAACCCATTCAAAAATCCCATAGGCTTTAGAGCGAAGGAACCGTAGTGCTAAAATGCTAACTCACTTCTGCGTTTTGGCCTACAGAGTGATGTCGTAACTTCGGTACTTATGTGCGAGACTTGCTTTGACGGCAAGGAAATTACGTCTACACACTCGCACGCACCTGATGCAATAAATATACACTTTCACTGCAGATGTACAAGAGACACTGTAATGTGCATACACTCGCACTGCTGCTGAGTATCACCATAATTATATATTAAATAATACTTTCAGAGCTGTTACAACACAATCCAATTGATATTAAAAACAATTATTTTAAATGAGAAATTATCATGAATGAAAGTTTGAAACTCACTGTTTGGTTTTCTGACTCAAGCTGTCCACTATCCCTCCAGCGGCACACGCGTTATCATCTCGTGAGTGTGTATGCTTCTCTCCTCAGACTCGTGTGTTCTTCTCTCCTCAGAGTCATGGCTGCTAAAACAGAGCGCACATTCATCGCCATTAAGCCTGATGGCGTGCAGCGAGGCCTGGTAGGAGAGATCATCAAGCGCTTTGAGCAGAGGGGCTTCCGGCTGGTGGCTGCCAAGTTCATGCAGGTGTGTGTGTGTGTGTGCATCAGCGCATGCTAACAATCTCTGCACACTCATGCTAACGGTCTCTGCACGCTCATGCTAATGTGTTTCTGCCCGCAGCCCACTGAGGCTCTGTGTAAGGAGCACTACATCGACCTGAAGGACATGCCCTTCTACGCTGGGCTGGTGAAGTACATGAGCAACGGGCCTGTGCTGGCCATGGTGAGCCATCGACGATCTGTAGCGGTATGCTAATGAAGCGTGCCATGCTAACGTGTGTGTCCGCAGGTGTGGGAGGGCCTGAGTGTGGTGAAGATCGGGCGCTTGATGCTCGGAGAGACCAACCCCATCGACTCCAAACCTGGCACCATCCGTGGCGACCTCTGCATCGAAGTGGGCAGGTGTGTCTGACCTCGAGGGTTTACCTCGCTAGTTCATTACGCTGTCAGATTACTATTGCAAGTAACTAGTAAAGTAATGCATTACTTTTCCAATTTCAAACAAAATGCCTAAGTTACTTCACATTTATTGACTGGCTCTCCTGTCAGAGAGCTGTCAGATGCTGAGAGAAGTGTGTCAACATGGTTATTTTAGTTCTAGACTAAACTTGTACATTCATTAAAGCTATGGTATACGATGTTAAAAATCGGTCGAGACTGTAGGGAAGTTTTAAAAAAACTCATCCCGCCCCTCCACACACACCCCCCTCCCCTCTGTGCTACCTGATCCCTGACGTATGTCACGTTTGAGTTTACGTCAACGCAAGATTAGCAACACATGAAATGTTCTAAACTCCCCACCACCATTATAATACTACTAGTATTGCTAAGGTTTTCAGTAATTGTTATTGCAGCACGCAGCGCATCTTGTTCAAATTCCGATCGGCTCGAACAGAAACCTCGAACAAGAAATATAATTACTTTGAACCGCGATCGGCGATGCTAAACGGCTAACATTCCAATGCCGACCGGCAGCATGAGCAAGTTGTTAAACTGATAAAAAGCCACGTAACACGTCACACCATAAAAGAATAAATAAATGTTTACCTGCTCAACAAAAAGTCATCCGTGTCAGCGTCGTTTTCAGTCCCAGATCTCCCTGAAGCTTTCTCCAATGGTCAATAAAGGACGCTATATTTATCCTACTTAGAGTCCGGCGTTCTTCACATTTCTTTTTAATCTCTGATCTTTTCTCCACAGACTTTCTCTTTCGTCCAAACTTTACAGTAGGGGCAAGCAGGGGCCGCTTGCTGTTGTCGTTTATATTTTTATCCATTGCTGATCTGACTCTACTAGCTAGCTACCATAGACAGTCTGTCAGCTGTTTGCTCATGCACGGAGGGGGGCGGGTGCGGTTGGGTTGGAGACGCGAGTGCCAGGCGGAGTTTCAGCTTACGGCCGCACAGCTTACATTGGTCAACTTTTCTGTGGCTGTCCAGCCAATAGAGTGAATGGATTTTTTTCATTCTTTTTTCTATTCATATTGTTAGGATTTTACTATATAACCATAACCAGCATCTAAACGAGGATATTAATAATGAACAATCTTTGAAATCGTATACCCTAGCTTTAACTGAGTAATGCAATTGGGTTATTTTTTGGGGGAGAAACCAGTCTTGTAATGATTACTACAAGTGTAACTCACTGTGTGTGTCTCTCTGTGTGTGTGTGTGTGTGTTTGTTTCAGGAACCTGATCCATGGCAGCGACTCCGTGGCCAGCGCCACTAAAGAGGTCGCCCTTTGGTTCAAGCCGGAGGAGCTGGTGAGCTACACGAGCTGCGCGCAGCCCTGGCTCTACGAGTAACATACCCGGCTGCTGGAGTGTGTTTTGCTGGAGAACTTGTTTAAATAAAAACTGGAATCTCACTTTCATAGTCTTCTCTTTATTCATTCACAATCATGTTCCAAACTAGCTTTGCTTTTAAATCCAGCCTGACATGATGTGGATCAGAAGAACAGTTTAGCTGTCGCATTTTATAAAACAAATTAAAATGCCAAGTTGGATTGTTGATTTTGGTTAGCTTTAATGTTTATAAGCTCAAACTGCCAACACATGCACAAAGGGGTTTATTCAAGCTTTCAGTCTCTGCACCAGTAAATCCATTCTGCAACACGGCTGGTGTTTCTGTACCTGAGATTAAAGCCAGCATTCAAAATCTGTGCTGTTTTAGTCAAAGATCAAGAACTGGCTTTTGTTGAAGCTAAATAAAAATCTTAGACTTATTTAGGGAATTTAGCTTTAGCTTTTTTATTTTAGTGATTAGTCACTTTAGTATTGTCTCGCTGGTGCATGTTTGAGCCGACGCTAAGAGTTCGCATATTCACTTTTCTTGAAAATATTTAGCTATTAGATCTATTTAAATGCTTCAGTTTGTTTTCATATTATAATAATATAATATGTCCACAAATTGAAGCATTTAAACTGATATATCACTTCAAATACTTAGATTCGTTTTTTTTATATTATATTAGGCCTCTTTTGTATTACATTATGAGACTAAATAAAGAATCTAACAAAGGTATTGTTTAGGTTATATTGGGCCTATTTTATTATATTTTAAGGCTAAATAAAGAACCTCACAAGGGTTGTTTAGGGCCTCATTGCCATTAAAAAGTTTGAAACCCCTTGCTAAAGAAAATATTGGAAATTCATAAGCAACAAACAATCATTTAACTTTGATGGTTTAATGCTTCCTGTACACAATTCATTGACTGTACAAAAATACTTTATGGTTTTCCCAAACCATCTCAGTGTAACAGCTTACTTTTCTTTCTTACTATATTCTTTTATTGTAAAGAATTGAACTGTCCTGCAAAAGATTTTGTAAATTTATTTTTCATAGTATTTATTGGTAAAGACTGTACAGTTAACAGCACTGGAAAAAAATATCAGATAACCTAAAATGTGCTTGTTTTTCACAAATATGATTTACAGTTTTTCTCAATTGCTAAAACACAATTTCTGAAACATTGCTCCATTTTCTGAAAACATTAAACACAAAACCTTATCTTCAGCACTATTTACAAAACCTCTGACTCTTCTTGCAAAATGAAACTTTTGCCTCAAAACAGTTTTACCTGTGTTCAAATTCAAACACTGCTCTCAAAACATAAACAAAGTGATCAAAATGCTATACACTATCAATCAGTCAGTAAACAATATACCAAACAATTTAAAACACATTGTTCAAAACATATAGCTCTCAGGGAGAACTATGTCAAAACAAATGAATTTCATATAAAAAAAATCATATTTTTTCATTGTACGGTCTACAGCAGTGCACTGTCCTACAGTATATGATATATACGAAAAAAGGGACACAAATGAAAGGAGCAAACATTTGATCAATGTGCTTCTTGTCTTTGGCCTGGGTCATGCCAGAGGACTTCGTCGACTTCACAAGCAATATTGTCCCTCTTTCTTGCCCCCCCCTCCTCCTCTTCTTCCTCTTCCTCCTCCTCTTTCTTGCCCTCCTCTTCCTCCTCTTTCTCTTTCTTGCCCTCCTCCTCCTCCTCTTCCTCTTTCTTGCCCTCCTCCTCTTCGTCGCCCACCTCGCATACGTCCTCTCACAAGTTTTTTCTATCCATTCTGAGACTTTCTCCTTTCCACCTTCAACAACCTCTCAGTTCAGTTTGCTCTCTGAACTGGCTAATATTGGTTGTGTCACATCATTTGAAACAGGTTGAATCAGTTTTGAGTGGTTGTGTTCAATTAAATGATATGTGTTTTCTATTTGTATTTGATTGTTGCCACTTGTGTTTACCAGTATGGATGACATGTGCATTAGAGTGCAGAATGTGTTTTGAGAATGAGAATGAGTTCAGAGTTTTGCTGAAAAGTCTAAGTGAGATCTGCAAATTGTGTTTTACCATGAGAAATTGTTTACGGTATTGACAACAGACTTCACAATTAGCTAATTGAGTTCAGGCAACTGAGAACTTTGTTCAGCCAATGGATTTTAGTGTTTTAGCAATTGAGAAAAACTGTAATACCAATACGTTACATTAAGGGTCAAATAAAATATAAATGGCACATTCAAGTTAAAAGTTACAAATGAATGTTGAAACCATTGTGTTTCTAAATATGATGTACAGGTCAGGTATAAAGAATATTTTTGCTCAGGTGGTGAAAAAATAGAAAACAATTAGAGGGAACATTGAACTGTGTTCACGATCATAGGCCCTGTCCCAAATGGCACACTTCATATGCATTTTCAGTGTTGTGTACTTATGTAATGCGTCCGTTAAATCCATGACTGTCTGTAGGGTGTCTCATTTTTCATTTTAGGTTTCAGAAGGTTGCTCACGCATACATTTTGGTTGATATGTGCCCTCGATGCGCACTTTTGCAGAGCCCACACTGTTGCAAGCTCTACGGCACACTTCTTTTCGACAGTCAAAGCAGTGTTACGTTTGTGCACAATAACCCTAAAGGCACCAGGGTGGCGGTGCCAGCGGCTATATATATATATATATATATATATATATAAATATAGCTGCAAGCAGCAATGAAGGGCCAAGGGCGGCAGTACCGCCACCCCGGTGCCTTTAGGTAACTAAAGGCGCCGGGGTTGTGGTGCCACCGGCTTGGGCCCGCAATCGCTGCTTGCAGCTATATTTCTTCTTATTATTTTTCTACCTTTTGGGCACTTTTGGAGCCCTTAACGTGCTCGAAAACTCTTGAAACTTTGCACACGGGTCAGAACCCGCGGCCATCAGAGCCGGGCTGAAGCTGGTACCCGGGCGTGGCAGGGGGGCTCATCAGCGCCCCCTGGAACGGGGTCCAAACACTTGGTCCATAACTCAAACACGCTTGCATGTAATAATATGAAATATTTAATATTTAATATTTAATATTTAAAATAATCGGTACACATGTTGATCTCATCATTTCATATATACCTCACACTCTTACTTTTTACCTCAGCCCAACAGGAAGTCGGCTATTGAGGATTGTTTGTAAAACACACGCAATGGAATTTGAAATACTCCTCCTAGAGCTTTGATCCAAATTCGACAAAACTCGGTCAGCGTGAAGTCAAGACATTGAGGATGAAAGTTTGCGAGGGGATTTTTGATATCTCGAACGGTTTGGCCGTGGCGAGGAAACGAAATTATGGCGAGAAACGTGAAACAGGAAGTGTGTCATAACTTCAGCATACATTAACTGATCTTGATGAAACTTCAGCAGTGTGTTCGCTGTAAGAGGACGATCACATGGATGTGACTATTGTGAGTCAAAGTTATAGCGCCACCAACTGGCAGCAGGAAGTGTGTCACTTTCAAAATGCTTTGAAATCACCCTCTTAATTTAACCCGATTTGCTGCAGTCTTCATCTGTATAATGTAAACATACGGCAGATGTAGACCTGTGAATGGATTCTTGATATCTTTGAAACTGTTGCCGTGGCAACACATCAAACTTTACCATTCTTTTAAGATGCTTTTGAGACTCTTAGCATGCTTCAAATTGCATGAAACTCGACAGACACATCACATTTATTAGCCAGTAGACATGTGCAAAGTTTCAGAAACGGGCGTGGTGAGGGCTCAGTAGCACCACCTTTTGAAAAAAGTGGGGTTGTTAGTTTTATCTAGAGTTACAAAAATTGGTATATATATTGTACTCCTCAAGCCGGACAACTTTCTAATTTACACTTATTAGCTAGGACCCACAGAAAGTCAGATATTTTTGTTTGAATGTGGTCATTCTCTATCTGAGCCTACGTGTCTCTGTCTCTCTGTTTCTTTGGCTGTCTGTGTGTGTGTGCCTGTCTGTGTGTGTGGGTGCAGGGGGAGGGGGCTTAACCATTTCACTGCTGTGTGTCTGGCCTGCAGAAAAAGAAGATACATTTCTTAAGCCTGGTATGTTTTAAATAAGTTTTTATTTTATTTTTTTATAAGTAAAGGCATAATATAACCGGTTTAATTGTAGTGCATTGACAATAGTTTTATATAATTAGTTTATTAATTAAATTAACTTGGTCCATAAACTTGATCTGAAAATTTGGTCCAGAAATCAAACACACTTGCATGTAATAACATTAAACTCGGTACACTTATAGATCACATCAGGCCAAACTTTCTTGCTCTAAGTTTTACGACAGTTCAAATGAAAGTCAGGAATTATGGGTTGTTTGAATAAATCTCCTAGGAGAAATACATCAAATTACAACGCATGTGTTTACCAATCACCACCAAACTCAATGTGCATGAAGTCAAGATATTGAGGATGCTCAATTTCGGACGGATTTTTGATATCTTGAACGGTTTGGCCGTGGTGAGGAAATGAATTTTATGACAAAAAAAGGACACATAAAGTGTGTTATAACTTCGCTCATTTTACCTACAGTTACAAAATGTGCCACGTATATTGTTCTTGTCAAGCTGATCAACTTTCTAATTAACAGTAAGAAGCTCAGACCAAAAGAAAGTCAGATATTGCAGTTTGGATGTGTATCTTTCTTGTCTCTATCAGTGTCTGTGTGGGGAGGAGGGGGGTTGCTGGTGTCTGTGTTTGTGTGTGTGTGTGTGTGTGTGTGTGTGTGTGTGTGTGTGGCTGACTGTAGATTTTTCCTGCAAGTCCTTGTCTTTTTGCATAACAATTTTGTATTTTTTTTTTTAAATGACAAAATATACATAACCCCCATCTTTTAAATGTATAGTTTGGTTAAAATAAAAGTAAGATAAATTGGTAAACTACAAATTAGTTGTTATGAAGTGGGAGGATAGACGAACCCAAAAGCAGACTGATTGCTCAACACAGAATTTATTCAAGACAAAACAGAAAATAAAAACCCACGAGGGGGCAAAACAAGACTGGGTAACAAACACTAGACTTAGACTGAGGTCAAGACAGGAACACT